AAAAAAAAACTTTCTTTGATTCTTAAATATATATATATATTTTAAGTCATTCTTATTATTTTATTTTATTTTTTTTTTTTTTTCTAGTTAAATACTTTTTCATCTAATTTCATAGTTATAGAAAACACCACTGTTCTAGAAAATAGGTGTTAAATTTTATTATAATTACTTAAATTTTTTTTTTTTTTTTTCATATATGTATTTATAAAAATATAATTATTTATAGATATATAAAATAAGAAAGTATTTTTTTTTCAACAATTAAGAAATATATAATTTTTATTTATATAGAAGGTTAAATCTTCAATGATTTTTCATTTTATTGTAGAAAAAGTCTAAGGGTCACGATTGTGTAATGCATGTTAAACTTATCCATAGAAAAAAAAAATTCCATTTTATTTATTTTTATATAATTTTAAGGAATAGATTTCTTATAATTTCTTAAGTATATTATTTAACCTTCAGAACTTTTAAAATTATATTTATATAATAATACAATTATATAATTTTTAACATTTAAGTTTCACAATAAAAGAAAAAAAAATAGAAACTATATTTTTTATATTTTTTTTTAATTTTTTTTTTTTTTTTTTAGTTACATTGTAGCTGAAATAAAAGAGTCACTTAAAATCGAAAAATAGACACAAATAAAAATTAATTTAAAGAAATATTTAATTTAATTTGACTTAATTTTTTTTTTTTTTTTGCTTCATTTTAAAATGTAATTAAATATTGTAAAATAAATTAAGAAAAGAGCTGAAATTAAAATCTGCTAATTTAATATTTACCTCTTCGGTTTTATTTTATAGATTCATTTCAAAAAAACAAAATTATTTATTTTTCAATGATATAAAAAAAGGTGAAAAATCATACAAAAAAAATTAAAATGAAGTAAAAGGTATATTAATTAAAAATTAAATTAACATTACGCAACAACATTATTAAAACATTAATTTTTTAAGAAAGAAACGTTATATATATATATATATTAAAAGTTATTTGTATCATTTTTAATCTTCTATAATTTTATATATATACTCTAAATTCTTTTTTCTTAATAAATTTACAATAATAAATATTCATTCTTCTTAAAAAAAGTTTTTAAATAGCTATAAGGTATCAAAATTCTTTATAAGGCAAAAATATTGTTTTTGTTATTATAAATTATTATTATCACTTTATAAATAATAAATTTAAAAAAAAAAAAATTTTTGTGAAAATTTTACAATTGGTGAAATAAAAAAAAAAATTTACAATAATAAGAAGTTCTTTTTCTATATTTCATTTTTTTCTTTTATGTTAGCTTAATTTTATGTGATTAATTTTTCCTTATAAATTATGTTTTATACTAATTTAACTTTCTCTAGCCTTTTTTTTTATACTTTAATATTCTTTTAATTTTTTTTTTTTTGAATTTTTTAATTTTTTTTAAATTCAATATATATATAAAAAAAAAAAAAAAAATTTTAGCAAATTAAAATTTTACTATAAAAAAAAAATTTATATTATATATAAATTAATGTTAAAAAAACACTTTTTTTGGATTAGTTTTTTATTAAAAAAAGGAAAATCAAATGAAAATATTAAAAACAAAATTATAATTTGAGACAATATTATAATTTTTTTTTTTTAAATTTTTAAAAAATAATGGATGATTTTAATGAAACATTAGAAGGTTTAGAGGTATAATTTTATATATAAGAAAAAAGAATAATATTACTTTCTAATTTGTTGCATTTTCTTTTAGATTTTTACAAATATTGTAAATTAAAGTTTTTTGAGATAATAATAAGAAAATTAAATTAAAAAAAACAAAAAAGAAAAACTATATTTTTATATTAATATACACTTTTTTTTTCTGAATATTTTTTTTTAAGGAAAAAATAAGCGAATATGAAAAACAACTGACATTAGTAAGAGATGAAATAAAAAAATATGAACAAATTGAGGATCAAGAAAATGAGCAATTAAAAAATTTGAAGAAATTAGAATGTGATATGTTAGAAGTTATAAACTTAACCCGTGATTTAATTAAATACAAAAAGCAAAGTAAAGAAGAGTTATAGAAAAAACATATACTTACACATATATATAAATATATATATAAATATATATATATATATATAATAATAATAATTCAAAATATTAATTTATTATATGAATTTTTATGTTTTTATGAAATTAATTTAAACTGTATTATATTTTTTTTTAATATATTATTCGTCTTAATTGGATTTGTTATTTTATCTTGTATATTTTATTGTTTTTAAATTTAGATGAAATAGAAAATGATGAAGCAAATGAGTTAGAGAAAAATGAAGAAAATCAAATTCAAAATATCAATGAGAACATCACTGAATCAAATGGTTTAATAGGAAGAACATGTAGTTTTATTTACGAAAATAAGAAAATATATGGATTAATAGAAAATTTAATAGTGGAAAAAAATGTTAAACAATTGATAGTTCATATTTTTGAAACAAATGAAAAAATTACTATACCAAAAGATTACGTTCACCTAAATGAAATATTAGATGAATCTGCTTTATCTGAAAATAATCAATTTCAAGCATTATATAAAAAAGATGGGTTAGTAAAATAAAAAAAACATATATATTCATTTATTTATATATTCTTTGTTAATATCTTTATTCTATATTTTTTGTTTAATTTTATTTTTCATTTTGTAATCTTATTATATTTTTTATTTATTTATAATTTTTGTTGATTTTATTTGATTTAATTTTTTTTTTTTTTATCAGACATTGGTACGACTGCATAATTTCAAAAAGTAAAGGTGACTCATATTTGATTACGTACATTGGTTATAACAATAGTGAATATGTAAAAAATGATCAAGTAAGAATTAAAAAAAAGAAGAAAATTAAAGAGATAATTACACCTGCAGGATATAAAATACCGGAAAATTTAATAATTAAAGAAAACGATTCATTAAAAGTTAAAATGAAAAAAAAAAAAAAAAGAATTGCTTTAAAAAAAAAACAAAAAAATGAATTAATAAACAAAGAGTTTGCTAATAAAACACAACAGTGGAGATCATTTCATGAAAAGGCTCTTAGTAAAAGTAAACATCTTTTAATAGCTCATAAGAAAGTTGAAAATATAGAAAACAATAATAATCCATCAAATTTTAATATTAGAAGAAAATTTGATTATAATGATAATGATGAATAAAATATCCAAAAGTTCGCTTTATAACATAGTATATATATTTAAAGTATTAAAAAAGAATATATAACTATAATTATGTTATTATAATTCAAGTACAGAAATTTTGCTTATATATATT